CGGAGGGGACCTGAGCAGATCATGAAGTCTGACCCCCTGCCCTGGGTAGGAATGAATACTGGGCTGATATGACCCTCACTAAGTTAAACTCATATGAGCCCAGCTAGGTAGTTACCAAACCTCCTTTTAAAAGACCTGAGGTAAGGTAGGAGGTAGCACTACTTCCCTTGGAAGCTGGTTCTAGATCCTGGCCACCATGACTGTGAAGCAGTGCCTCCTGATGTTTACCCTGAACCTACTTGCAATCAACTTGTGGCCGTTATTCCTTGTTACTCTGGGAGGCGCTCGGGGGAACAGGGTCTCACCCATTCCTCTCTCATCCCCCTGGTAAGTTTATAGATGGCCACTAGGTCCCCTCTCAGGCTTCTCTTGTGAAGGCTGAACAGGACCAGGGCCCATAGTTGTAGGGCCTGCCCTTCTGCCCCCTGATCATGTGAGTGGCCCTCCTCTGGACCCTCTCCATGCAGGCCTCATCCCTCCTGAAGTGCAGCACTCAGAACTGGATGCAGTACTCCACCTCCAGTCTGACCAGTGTCACACAGAAGGGGAGGATCACCTTCTTGGACCTGCTTGAGATGCATCTGTGGATGCATTACAAGGTGCAGTTAACATTGATGACTGCGTCCTCACATTGGCGGCCCATGTTCATTTTAGAATCGATCATGACTCCAAGATCTCTTTCCGACACTGTGTTTTTAAGAAGGGAGTTCCTCAGCCTTTGGGAATGCTACTGGTTCTTAATGCAAAAATGCAATGCTCTGCACTTGTTAGGACTGGATCCCATCCTATTCATATTCGCCCACCCCTGATGACTCCAAGATCCCTTTCTGCCTCCGTGCTCTCCATCTCACCCCAAATTTTGGTATCATCAGCAAATTTGAACAGGTTGCTTTTCACCCCATCGTCCAAATCGCTGATAAAGAAATTGAACAGTGCGGGCCCAAGGACCGAGTCCTGGGGGACTCTGCTGCCCACTTCCCCCCAGGTCGAATATGACCTGTCCACCACCACCCTCTGAGTATGACCCTTCAGCCAATTCGCAATCCATCTGACCGTGTAGGCATCAATGCCACAGCCACCTAGTTTTTTAATGAGGATGGGGTGGGAGACAGTGTCAAAGGCCTTGCTGAAGTCCAGAAAGACTATATCCACGGAGACACCTGCATCCAGTGCTTTTGTGACCTGATCATAAAAGGCAATCTGGTTGGTCTGACATGACCTGCCCCTGATGAAACTGTGCTGGTTGCCCTTGAGCATCATCCCCGATGCCGGCCCGTCACAGATGTGCTCCTTGATGATCTTCTCAAAGAGTTTCCCCAGGATTGAGGTAAGACTGACGGGCCTATAGTTGCCCGGGTCCTCCCTCCTCCCTTTTTTAAAGATGGGGACCACATTGGCTGTCCTCCAATCATCTGGTACCTGGCCCGAGCACCCTTGTCCAAGTAGCTGTTAAAGAAATTGAACAGTGCGGGTCTGAGGACTGAGTCCTGGGGGACTACAGTGCCCACATCCCTCCAGGTCAAATACGACCCATCCACCACCACTCTCTGGGTGCGGCCCCCGAGCCAATTTGTGACCCATTTTACTGTGTAGGCATCAATGCCACAGTCAAGTAGCTTTTTAATGAGAATGGGATGGGAGACCGTGTCAAAGGCCTTCCTGAAGTCCAGAAAGACTACATCCACCGCGACACCTGCATCCAATGATTTTGTGCCTGATCCTAGAAGGCAAGCAGGTTGGTCTGACAGGACCTGCCCTTACTGAACCCATGCTGGTTGCCCTTGAGCATCCTCCCCCCGCTGGTCCCTCCCAGATATACTCCTGGATAATTTTTTTCAAAGAGCTTCCCTGGGACCGAAGTTAGACTAAATGGGCCTATAGTTGCCTGGGTCCTCCCTTTTTTGAAAATGGGGACCACATTGGCCTTCTTGCAGTCCTCTGGCACCTGGCCAAAGCAGCACGAGTGCTCATAAAGCCATGCCAGGGGCCCCGTGATGACCTCTGCCAATTCCCTCAGCACCCTGGGTTGGAGAGCGTCTGGATCTGCTGATCTGAACACATCCAGCTCCTCCAGAAGTTTCATAGATTTCATAGATTTCATAGACATCAGGGCTGGAAGGGACCTTGGAAGATCATCGAGTCCAGCCCCCCACCCAAAGGGCAGGAAGTCAGCTGGGGTCACAGGATCCCAGCAAGATAAGCATCCAGTTTCATCTTGAAGGTGTTCAATGAAGGTGCTTGAACCACCTCCGGTGGCAGGCTGTTCCAGACCTTGGGGGCTTGGACAGTAAAGAAGTTCTTCCTTATGTCCAGCCTGAAACGATCTTGAAGTAGTTTGTGACCATTTGACCTCGTCATCCCTTGGGGCGCTCTGGTGAACAAATGTTCCCCCAGATGCTGGTGGTCACCCCTGATAAACTTGTAGGTGGCCATCAGATCACCCCTGAGCCTGCGCTTTTTCAGGCTAAAGAGCCCCAGGGCTCTCAGCCTGTCGTCGTAGGGTCTGCTTCCCTGACCTCTGATCATGCGCGTGGCTCTTCTCTGGACTCTCTCAAGCTTCTCCACATCCTTTTTGAATTGTGGAGCCCAAAACTGGATGCAGTACTCCAGCTGCGGCCTCACCAAGGCCGAGTACAAGGGGAGAATGACGTCCCGGGATTTGCTTGAGAAGCATCTATGGATGCAAGCCAGCGTTTTGGTCACTTTACTAGCCGCCGCATCGCATTGCGTTGCGCATTAAGTTCCCCAACTCAGTCCTCTCTGACCCTAGGCCTGGAGGAGTCACTCCCAAGTCAGTCCTGAATCCCAGTGGGGGAGAAGTTCCAGTCCCTGCTCAGAAAAATGGAGGCAAAAATTTTGTTAAAAGGTCTGCTTTTTTATCTGGTGCAACCACCAGTTTGTCAAGTGTATCCTGCAGGGGCCTCATGTTGTCTGGTGCCTTCTTTTTATGCCCCATGTATTTAAAACAGGACTTTTTGTTGTCCTTGATCCTGCAGCTGCAGAGATTTCTGTGGTTCCTTTCCAAGCTCCAATCTGTGCAATGGCAGCAGGTGCGGTGCAGCATTGCCCAGCTCTGAGGAGCTTTGCTCAAGAGCCAGCATGAAACACCTGGTTTGTGTCCCAAGCTGTGGAGATCCATGGAAGGAAGGATCTTTGTGTCAGGTCACTGAGGAGGGCTGCCTGAAGCTGGCATGGTCTGTGGCTGCATGTAGTGATAGAACAGCTCTGTGGGTATCTTGCAAAAGCCAGGCCGACAGCAAATCACGGGGGGTTGAATGTGCCCATGGGAGGCAGAGCTCGCAACCCAGCAGACTTATGAAGCTTTTAAAGAAAACTCAAGCTCATGTAACCCTGGCGGTACTCGAAGAGGTACCCCCTCTCCAATTGAAGGGATCAGAGCAGGTGCACAAGAGCTGTGGAAGGTGTAGGGATTCTCCTCCCCCTATAGAGCAGAGCCAGACCACCAATGGGGACTTAAGCATATACCCTTTAATGAGAGAACAGTATTGGGAACATAACCAGTATAAACCAGGGGGTATAGGGGACGCTACAATGCCCTGAGGTGGCGGGATTCAACAAAGGTTAAACACTTACAATCATAGACATAGTCATTCAGTTGACAAAAGACAGGGTTAACCGAAGAGTAAAACACAAACAGCAGAGCAAACAATACTGGTTGGGGAAATATAAAAGGCACAAAACAGTCAAATAACAAGGAATATAGGGCCTAGGTACCTGGAGGGGGACAAAGAAGGAAAACACAGTGACCCCTTTCCACTGCAACAGGAATTTCTCAACGCTACTTCACTCATCCCAGCTCCGACTTGAACTCAGATCTCCCACATGGTGTGCAGAAAGTCTACCACGTGGCCACCAGTGCTGATACTATATTAAGCTGCTAGGGGTCTTGGCCTTCCAGGAGCCCCGGTCTCATGTTGAGCTGCCTGGCCTCTGATTGGAGGAGTTGGAAGCAGAGTGGGGAACCTTACAGGTCGCTGCTCAGATCCTTGCTGGAGCAGGGGAGCCTCTCCTGCTGGCCAGAGCCTCTCATAGGTGATCCTAGAGCCCAGCAGGGAGTCTCTCCTTCCGGCCGTGTGCCGCGCTGCTGAGGGTCCAACTGCTGCCTGTAGGTCCCACTCCTCCGGGCTCTTCTGGGGCAACTGCAACTACACCCACCCCGCTGACTCAGCTCTTGCCAGCTCTTTGAATCTCCTTCCATGTAGTCCCTCGCTGGTCTCCCCTGAGTCAGCCACGTTGCCCCTTTTATCCCCCTCCAGGTGATGCAAGGGGCCAATCAGGGGACATGAGAGCGAGCCTCTGGGGCCTGATTGGTGAGGAAAGGGAATCCCAAGCCCTTCAATCATCTTTTACCCCTTCAAAACCCCTGGGCCAAATCATTACCAGATTGGTGAGGAAAGGAAATCCCAAATCCTCCAATCATCCTTTGCCCTTTCAAAACCCCTGGGTTAAATCACTGCCAGCTAGCCTGTCATGGCCAGATTAAAGTAGCCCAGATGTCCCAATCTGAGCCCCTGGCTGTATTCAGAAGATGCCACTTGCACCACAGTAGAGGCAAGCTTTTTCACTACCCCCTTTTCCCTGTCTCATGCCCCAGCCTCCCCCCAGGACGCAGGGACGCTGCCAGGGCTGTGCCTGCACCACTGGCATCAGGGCAAAATGAAGCAAGGATCATGGTCCAGGCCCCCTTCATGTCCCAAACAGGAGCACTTGGCCCATGACCAGTGGGAGATGGCTGCCCGGAGCAGCACATCAGTGGGTCCTTCCCGGTCCTGCAGAACCCGTGGTCTGGGATACTCTCATGCAGGACATGGGCTGACCAGCCCCAGAGGGGATCCAGGTGACCTGGGGTTTCTGCCATGAGTGAAGGGGCCTCCTCTGCCCTTCAGAGGCAAGTTCAGGGCTCCACGGCAGGCCGGGAGCAGTAGTAGTGACATGGACAGGAGGACGATCTCATGACCAGCTGTATCTTGTCAGGAAACTCATGAAACAAAGCCCCAGGGACCTCCAGGGGAATGGTGCCTGCCCTGTGCCACTTGGCATGATGCAAGCTCATTTTTTTCTCACTTCTCAAAACAGCATTTGCGGTGTCCTCTGGGAGCAGCCGTTCAGGGCAGAGTTGTTCTGCATCCACCAAGAAGTCAAGAGACCTGTGTGCAGTGCCTCCGGCTCTCTCCTCCGCACCATGAAAGCACCTGTCATCCTCTACGTCCTCTTGGCTTTCCTACACCAAGGTGAGTCTCCTGGCACCGAGGCTGCATGACAGGGGAGAGGACTAGCCC